GAATCTGGCGGAGTAGAAGGTGGAGTCGCCTCACCTTCCGCGGAGTTCAGTTTCCCGAGCTGAGGCGGGGTCGCACATCCTCCTTGCCCTGATCTTGGCACAGGGAGGTCTTGTGCTTGGTGTTGTTGCACCAGTAGCAGCTGCCGTAGCGGCCGCGGACCTTGTACTCCGCCTCGGTCAAGCCAAACTTGACCCATGGAAATTGTCCTGGTTGTCTATTTCCTGCCTGCGATGCGGATTTTGCCTTCCCATTGCTGCGGGACTTGTTGTTGCTTCGCGGCTGGACAACAGCCACCTGATCTCCATCACTTGATGCTGGAGTGGCTGCTGGGTTATCTCCACTGTCCGACTGAACTGCAGCGAACTGCTGCTGTCGCGGACCAGTTCGTACCTTCTCCACATAGGTTGGCTGCCACGTGGACTTCTCGTGTGCAGCCGGCCTGTTAGTCTTGATAAGCTCTCTCGCCTTGTTGATGATCTCTGCGAAAGTGTTGTACTGCTCGCGATCACCAAGTGCGAGGCTGAGAGCGGCGCATGACCTGTTGTAGAACTCACGCCGCAGATGCGGAAATGACAAGTCCAAATCGGGCGTCGCCACGATTTTCTGCCAATCCGTGAGCCAGTCACGTGTCGGTGTGCTCCCTTGAGCCATCGTGAAGATGCGGTTGACAGCGAGTGTCGGGGCGTCGTCGACGATGAACCACTTCTTCCATTCCTTTGTCATGTCTTCCCAAGAGACCTTCTTGTACAGGTCTGAAACCTGGACACCGTGGATGGTTGCCATGTGGCTGAGCCAGATCTGACAACCTCCCTTGGTGTTGATGAACAGAGCACTGATGAACAGATGGTCAGGGACTTCGTGAATCCCCAACTCCGTTGTAAATCATTGCCACCAGACGACCGGGTCTTGATATGTGTAGTCATCAAATTTCTCGATCCGGAACGTCGGCATCTTGTATGGCCTCGCCGAGCTGTTGTTCTGGCTCTGGTCAGTCTGCTGTTGCTGACCGATCTTAGTGTCCAGCAACTCGAACCGCTGGCTGATGGTGGCCGGCTCTGTGAAGACACTTATGTCTCCTAGCATTGCCACGACGTGGTCAACGTGTTCCTCCAGTTGGCGGCTAGAGGATGCACTGCTGGAAGCTCCAGCATCTGGTCCTGGCACAGCCTGTTCCAGGCCCAGTACACGGGCGTCCAGTGCCCGTGTGGCATCCTCGTGCTGAATCTTATGGTTCCGCACGGCCCGCTGAAGGTTTGCCAGCTCGGACTGTAGGTGGTTACATGTGTAAACCAACCTGCTCACGAGCTTGGCCATGAACTCCGTATGATGCTTTTCCGGTGTTGGCTCGTCGCTGTTCGGTTCAAAGTGCCAGTACTTGAGTTTCTCGATGCTGTTGGCTTCATGCCGCTGCAGCAGAGCCTGGGCTTCCTTGAGGCGAGCCTAGGCATTTGCGTTTGCTTCGGCCTGTAGCCGCAGCTTCTCTGCTGTTGCCGCTTCATCCGCCTGTAGCTGGGCAGCCTGACTGCCAGTTGGCGTTGTTCCTCAGCCTCGATTGCAGCGAGCTGAGCATGGACGAACTTTTTGTAATCGGCGATGGGCTCATTGGCCAGTTGGCCTGGCAGGCCCGTCATGTTGCTGACGTGGCACTGCTGACGTGGCACTGTGTCTGACGTGGCGCTGCTGATGTGGCACTACTTACGTGGCACTGTGTCTGACGTGGCACTGCTGATGTGGCACTGCTTACGTGGCACTGTGTCTGACGTGGCACTGCTGATGTGGCACTGCTCACGTGGCACTGTGTCTGACGTCACTGCTGACGTGGCACTGTGACCTGACACTGCTGACGTCGCACTGCTGATCTGGCACTGCTGACGTGGCACTGTGACGTGGCACTGCTGACGTGGCACTGTTGATCTGGCACTGTGACGTGGCGCTGCTGACATGGCACTGTACCGAACCGGGATGCATGCAAGGGGTGGGTGGGAGGGAAA